TTATGCACACTGTGGCTTACACTCCTTTCACAAAGATGGGCACATTCGTCAGGCTGGCCAGGTTATTCATCTCTCTCCAGGGATTGGTTCGAGAATGAATATGTGGGCTGAGCAAAGCCAGGATTGATGTGTGGATATGAGGCTCTCACAGCTAGGACTGAGGCTGCCCACCAAGCTGCATGGAAGATGAGGTGTAGGAGAAGTTAAGGCCGCAGAGGAAAAGTGAAACCAAGAGATGAGAACACTTACTGTTGGCTGAAGGGAGCTCCATTGCTGGGCTTTGTTCAACCGGAGTTCCCCTGGGTTTTGTGGCTTCATGATAGAAGTGATACAGGGCAGTGCTACTTAACTTGTAGCTGTGGTGCTTGAGCATCACCTGCACAGATTCTGGTGTCCCATCCCAGATATACTTCATTAATACCTCTGAAGGTGGAACCCAGTAATCTTTTTTAACAAGCTCTGCATGTGACTCTTAGGATGCTAAATAGAGCTTTCAGAAGTTTTTGTTACACATTAGTTTAGAATCACCTAGCAAGCTTTTGCAACTTGTAATGCCATATCAACTCAAGCTCTATGGTGGAACCCAGATAATAACATTTCTTAAACTCTTCAAGTGATTTCCATCAGCCAGGATGAGAACCCACACATTGAGCCATAGTTTACCCATCTGTCAGCTGTTGTCAATCAAGTGTGGTATCCCAGCATATTTCTTCATTGTAGATTTTCTTAAAGAATGCAGCTTCTGGCCAAACATGTTGGCTCACGCCTGTAATCCCAGCACTTTGGGAGGCCGAGGTGAGTGGATTATGAGGTCAAGAGATCAAGACCATCTGGCCATGGTGAAACCCTATCTCTACTAAAAATACAAAAATTAGGCATGGTGGCACACACTCGTGGTCCCAGCTACTCGGGAGGCTGAGGCAGAAGAATTGCTTGAACCCAGGAGGCAGAGGTTGCAGTGAGCTGACATTGCGCTACTGCACTCCAGCCTGGTGACAGAGCAAGACTCTGTCTCAAAAAAAAAAATGCAGCTTCCTGTAGTTTTCTGTACAGGCTAAGGTATTTCCAAGCCCTATTTGCAGCACTTTTTTGAACTTCCAAATTACTCTTTTACTCTGTACAGCTGGTTCTTGTTATTTTTGGTAGTTATGTTCTAAAAAGTCACCACAGAAACTAAATTAGCAAATACTGAACTTTTGTGCCCAGGGGACATACTGGGTTAGGGTCCTAAAAGCCATGGGTCACATTTTTAT